AGTTGCTCACCGCCTGCAAAATGCCCAGGTAATCTAAAGTCAATGTGAAACTCTTTGCAGCCCATTTTACTTCTGTATTATGAAGTATTGATTAGTATCCGTCTGCAACACTGCTGAAACCCTCTGGCTGAAACTTAAGCACCCTTGGCGAAGTCAGCTAAAATGAAAATCCTTTCAGAGGCAGAGCAACTCAAAATGTTTTGATGAAAGATTATTAAAACAAAAATTTGTGCACTAATAAATTTTGCTCATTAAGACTAGAAATGTGCATTAAAAAAGTAAACTATAATTGAATGAATGGATATTTCTTCATTGGCGTTCAAATGATTCAGATTTGTCTCTCTGAATGGGAGTACTGCTTGACAAAAAGTAAACAGCTAAAGGTTTCAAACCATTTCTAGGCAAACAGATGCAGTCCACACCATCAACACAACATAAATTATCATGGAGATGAATAAAAGCGTTTATTTATGGTAGAGCCCAGCCGGAATTAATAAATCTATTCCTAGAGCGCGAGGAAAACAGACATTCTGCCACCAGTGAGAATCTACGTTCTTAAAGCACAAACATGCAGGCCTTAATTAAAAGCTATCAACACCGCACAGAGAGCAGAACATAGAGCCATCCATCCTCAGTTTAGAAGCTGGAAAAAAACCTTATCAGAGTGAAGGGTTACACATACTCTCTCCTCAAGCCTTAAATAGAAATGCACATGCGAGACGGAGCGTTTATAGTGCTATTGTGTGGCTTTGTAGAAGCAAAGGCTGCTGTTTGTTTCTCACAAACATTCATCAGGCATTATTTCATGTGGGAGTGAGTCTGAACTGAAGGTAGTATCAGTTATAGTGAGATCCAGAAGTGCAATAAAATCTCTCAACACGCCTACTCTTTAACGCCTTAACACTCTTACATCTCTCAACACTGAGTTCAGAACTTCCAATTATGTTTCGCAGATGCTATTTAAGTGCATTTGGTGAATGTCAGATATACAAGTAATTTTATAAACACCGCAGATTGTTTCCAGGGAAACATTTTATATTAAAATCTATGTTCTTGGAAACAGATAGCCATTATGTTGTGCTAACCAAAAATTTTAAATCACATAAATCTTTGAAATCAACCTGCAGCCAGTCAGCTACAATCAATTTTAATAATGCTAATGGTCACAGAGCTTCAAAAGCATGAATCATCTGTACGTGTAATTTCAACGATAAAACATGTTTGGTTTTGCACCAATGCTGCGTTATATATATTAAATTGGGTTGCAAACACATTTCATGTTGACTTGTATTCCATTTGCATTTTTCATCTAAACAGATTTGTTTTGCAGAATAAAGGACAGATATAAATAACGAGGTTTGCAGCCCATTTTGCATCACCTAGCTTAATAGGATCTCCTCCACAAAATCATAAGCCTGTTTTACTCAAATCATTAATTGAATCCTGACCGGAGCCATTTAATCTTTCCACACAGCTAAACTGAAGCATCTCCACAGAGAGTGCGGATAAGATAAGGCAGAGATGTCAAGCGACTTCAATCTACGATATGGCATCGTTCCCAATTCTACACCCACCGGTACAATGTCTTTGTCTATCGTACTGTATAGAGCGACCAGAGTAATACCGCACGATCTGGACTGGGAAAGATGCTGGTTAATTGAAAGCCCCCCTCCAGTCCTCTCTCTTTACAATGGCCCTGTCTGCTTCGATTCATCTGGGCAGAATGAGATTGTGATTAGAACTGACTAAAGAAAATTACACTATGAGACAAAGGTGCCGGTCTGCCAGAGTGAATCCTGGAAAACAGGACTGGAAGGACTTTTGTCCCTTAGGGAGCACAGAGTAAAAGCTAATCATACTGAAACACACATTTATTTTTCCAGGAATGGGAAAATGTGGCATGAACACCCTTCACCTGCATTTATTTACCTTTAAAAATAAAGGTTCCAACAGAGAGTTCTTGTAGCAATGCCGTAGAAGAACCATTTTTTGGTTCCCTAAAGTAGTAAACCATTCTTAAAAGAATAATTGTTCTTAGTGTGAACAATTTTTTTAATAAACCACTATTAAAACCTTTTGTGCAAAGGAAATATTCCATTAATGGTAAAGGTTCTTCATGGAACCAATGAATGCCAATAAAGAACCTTTACTTTTAAGACTAACACTTACTGCACTGTTATCTCTCTCATTGTGGCAGCCAGATTTCTTATTTTAATTTATAATATAACCGTATACGTTAATCAATCAAGGATGCATTAAATTGATCAAAAGTGACAGTAAACAAATTTATAATGTTACAAAGGATTTCTATGCCAAATAAATGGTGTTCTTCTGAACTTTCGATTCATCAAAAATCATGAAAAAGTTACATTTTCCACAAAATATTAAGTAGCAACATTGATGACAACAAATATTCATGCAACAAGACATCATAAGCATTATTCACCAGTGCACATTATTCCAACAAAAATATGTTTGTCTTTGCAACATTGAACCAAAATAGAACACTAAAAAGTACATTTTGTGCAATGGAAAGATTCCATGAATGTTGAAGGCTCTTTGCGGAACAACTGATGCCAATAAAGAACCTTTATTTTAGTATAGTACCCAGAAGCTTATTTTCTGTTCATAGCAAATTCATTATATCGCATTAAAAGTGGTCTGTGATGTAACTTCCTGTGCTGAAGTTTCAGATTCTTGAACCTTGAGTGCAATAGCCCACTTCTGCTACCAACAGCTCTAGGGATATAACATGGCACATCATTGAAACTCACCCTGACAAGAGAGCAGTGCTTCCCGGGCTGTTTCTTCCTCAGAGTATTTGAGCACAGTTCTCAAACACACATAAACAAACCCTCAAAGAAACTCTAAAACACGGCCCACAGTCTTTCATCACATATACATGAACTCTCCGTATGTTTAAAAGCACACATTCGCAGTAGCATTTGGTGGGGCTCGATTCAGTCGCTCCGAGCATCATTAGAGAAGATCAGCTCAAAGCGATGCTCTAGTTTGTCCACACAGACCCACATCCTCTGGCAGAAGATCAGATGCTGACCTTGCAGTCAATATGGGGGGCTTCTAAGAGCCGGAAGGATCTTTGACTATTGGCATGGGGGGGGGATCACTCTACAACCTCAATCTCGAGACAACAGAAGGCGCTGGTATCAAATACTGCTTGCCTCAGAGAATTTAGAACAATGGAAAGAAGGTCCACAAAAGAAGTTCTCATTTTAAAGGCCTAGTTCACTCAAAAATGCAATTTATGTTATGTTTACTCACTCTTACGTAGGGTTGGCTATCGTTTGGGTTTTTTTCGATACCGATATACTTTTAAAACGGTTCCGGTGCCTAAACGATGCCTGAACCGATACTTATTATAAAATAAATAAATAAATAAATAAAAATTCCCCCAAAAAATTATGGATTGGTCATTAGAATAGAAATAGAATAAAGAGTGCAAATGTTAGAGGGTCAAGTTTTTTAATAAATATTGTGTTCAGCATGGTGGGCCGCATTTAAATTTGTGACGGGCCGCATTTCTCCATTTGAAGACATTAGACATTCTACATTTATTTAGCTTATTGTTAATATTAGTGTTGCTCCTGATGCTTTAAATAAAATGTTTTTTTATTGTTGTAATATGAAGACAAATATTTCAATCGATCGCTCAGGCATGGCACCGAAATGAGGCACCGAAATCTGCATTCGGATTCGGTTCTAGTACATACCGGTTACATAGGTACCGGTGCCATATTGGTACCGGGTTTCGGTACGCAACCCTACTCTTACGTCATTACTTCTGTCTCTTCACTGCATTTCTCTTGCACTGACTCTTGACAAATTGCTTTTGGAACTTTCCAATATAATTCCAAACCAGTATGCTATTTTTTCCTGTTAAATGTAAACATGGACACTTGGAAAACAGTTTATGGTAACCATTTCTTTCGATCAAAAAAGCTGTGCAAAAACCTTCCTCTTTTGTTTTTTTAATGTGTTCCAGCATAATGAGGATTTCTTTAAAATAAAAAAATGAAGCTTCAAGACAGTGACATTGTATGAAGTAACTCATAATGAGTGCATAATTGAATAAATTAAATTATCAAGGTCTAGCTAACTCTCTCAGTAACAGAGGCGAATATTAAGCTTGACATAAATTGGAGCCTCTGACAACAATCATTTTGCAATCCTGATTTCAAACAGGAAGGAAAGATCACACACCTCCATTAGGAGCTGTTATTAGGATTTTTCTGCAAATGAACATGACAGCTGAAAGCAATCTGGCAGTGTTTCTAGCAGTCGTTATGTAAATTAACAAATACTTCCAGGTTTGTTGTTAACGAATGCAGAAAATGTTACGTTTGAAATATAGTAAATGAAACAGAAAAATGAACTCCTAATAGAAATTAAAAAAGGCATCAAATTACATAATGAAATTATATAATACTATTATGTATTATGAACACCTAAGAGAACGATTCTAAGACAAATATGTCAGCAGTTGTGCATAATAGCAGTACATTTTAACACAAAGCTTTGGGATTTTCATGGAAAAGCTGATAGCAGCAATGCAGGAATATGAATCTAGTTTGCCAGTGGCTCAATTGGGTTAAAATGATTGAGAAAAAGAGTATTCATTATTCTTCAACAGTTAAAGCTGCAATTTGCAGAATGATTTGAAGAGTAATAGTCAAACTGACGGGGCTGAACTCATTATATGCAATCAAAGCAGTTTGTTGAAATAGCAGAAATGTATATATGCACCAGCATATACTGATTATTATGCTATTGAGCTAGATAGGATAATTCAGCACTGTCTTTAAAAAATAGTCAAAATTATGTGAATGCTACTATTTTTTTCCTAAATTGTGTACAAATAATATTTTAGCATAAAAACAATCTAATAACATACAAGTAAAACATTTCACATTATCGGATATTATCCTACAAGCTTTACAGACACAAAATAAACTCTTCATTCATTTTATGAGTTTTCCTACCTATACTTCATGCCAGTTCTCATGCTTTGGTCACTTGAAGAAGGGACGCTCTGGACAGAAAGCTGCCCAAGGCTCCTGGCCACCATGGCCACGGCTTTGAACTTGCTTCGGGTACCTGCGCTTGGACTGTTAGCGTTTTGTCGATTGAGCCTGTCATCTGTGCTACGGCTCATGGACCGGTGGTCCGTGCAAACAAACGACACCTGCATCCTGTCTCAGAGGATGCACGGTTATCACAGAGAAAATTCAATGAAAGAGTGCAAAGTGTCTACAAGAAACAAAGCCAAGTCAGCCAGATCCAGATCCTCTGGAGAGCAAATTTAAAAGTTCCTCGGTCCTGCTGGACTGTGCAATGCGCTGGGACTCCTGCTCTGAGAATATCAGGAGGGCTGATCAAACTGAAGCTTGACTCGCTCAACTAGACAGGCAAAGAGCTTATAAAGTGATGCCCGCGACTCATTTCAGTGCTTCCCCGACCGACACATGAAGTTCACAGCTCGCTGCTCAAGACCACCTGCACGGCTCCCATCTCACATAAGAAAGGTCTTAATTTATTTCCTTTCTCAGGTTCAGCGCTTTTTCTTTGTATTCAAATCCTCCGATCAAAGACGCTGCATATCCAAACACACTAACTGGTTTCTTTGTAATCTCAGCTCACTGCTTCAGATCACTTGGGAGCACCAACACACAAAGCAGATTTCAAACATAAAGTAACAAACTGACGCAATGGATAAGATGTCTTCTCATGTCTCCTCCTGTGAGCACTGTATCTGACAGCTACTGAGATACCTCAAATGCACTGGCGCTCCTCCTCCTCCTCCCCCTCCTCCTTAGCGGAGATTAAACTTACAAGTGCATTCAGAGCGCAAGACACAAAGAGGCAGAGTGTGAGTGAACGAGAGGGTGGGAGGAGCAAACGGCTGAAAGAGAGAGTACAGAAACACGGAATGTGATTGAGAAAGAGAGAGGGAGTGTTGGAGGGTTTGGTCGGCACTGATCTTTCTTTAAAGGGGTCATATGATGTTGCTAAAAAGAACATTATTTTGTTTATTTGGTGTAATGAAATGTGTTTATGCGGTTTAAGGTAAAAAAAAAACACATTATTTTCCACATACTGTACATTATTGTTTCTCCTCTATGCCCCGCCTTTCTGAAACGCGTCGATTTTTACAAAACTCATCGGTCTGAAAAGC